GTGTTTTTATATATATATATATGTGTTTTTATATATGTATGTATGTGTTTTTATATATGTATGTATGTATGTGTTTATGTATGTATGTATGTATTTATGTATGTATATGTATGTATCTATAAGTATGTATGTATGTATGTATAATGAACTAGCTTATTGTCTAACTCAACATTTCATGAAAACTTTTGGGATGATGACGAAGGTGTTTTAAATATTTAAAATTATAAATATCTTTTAATTTGACACCCCTCAAGAATATTCTTAGTAGTTAGTTGGGATTTAGGGAACTTTACCAAAAAATATGGGGTTAATTTAAACTAAATTATTGGTTTAAATTTAATCATTAGTTAATATTAAGGGGTTTTATGGAATTTGAGCTATTGGTATAAGGAAATCAAATATTATTTTATACCATCAAATACGAGCCATCTTAAGGAAGTGATGCGTAGGGCTTACATCTGTATTACAGAATTTTATGAGTCCATTGAGAATGACTAGCTTCATCATAGGGATCTCAATTAGATGAAAATCTTCGGTGGATTTACTTCCAGTTTAGTTTGTCTTAGAATGATCTATCTCAATGCATTTTTATCTTATCATAAAGCATAAAATTTGCTTGGTTTACACTCTAAAAGCATAAATCAAAATGTTCATCTTATTATAGATACAACCCAGAAATTACTCGGTGATCATCATAATTTTTGAGGTATGTAAGTGATTCACTACAAATTATAATATACTTTAGCTGTATTTTATATAAACATTTTACAACTAAGACGGTTTAAGATCTAATACGTTAAGATGCATGGTCTTACCAATTTGGCAAGGAGCTCATTAAAATTGTTTCGCCAATTATTTATAAGCCAAACTCTAAACAACTCTGACTCAACGATCCTAATTTTAAATTCCATCTACTGCTTAACATTACTTATTTATATGGTTTTTGCTCGCATGGTTAGAGCTAGAAATTCGGTCGACCTTCCAATGATAGCATTCCATGCAAGCATTGCTAGGCAAATAAATGCCACGCACTCCTTTGAACATACCCGTCACTTTTGCTTTTACAGAAATAAAACATCTTTTTGCAGAAGAAACCCTATGAAGGGAATGAATTCAAACCGGTAAGTTAGAAATACTCATTCTCCGGAACCAACTCAACTCAAATTAGAAATATTGAATTGGTAATACATCCATTTTTAATTGGGCTTTTTTCTCACCGATATTTCTCCTTGGATATATTTCTTCATATTTCTAGCCCAGAATTTGGCTGGCTTTTCCTACTCATCTCCCACCTTTTGGATTGCCATGCACAAATTCTTATTCCCATCATTCCTCCGTCAAAACCCAAACTTCAATCAAAAGCTTAAACGCCAACAATGTAAGTTCCTGCTAAAATTCTAACTCACGAAGACACTCCATTGCTTTAAAATATGCATGTAAAGAGTATTTCTTTTTTTCTTATTAATTGGATATTTCATCAGATATGTTCTTTGTAAAACTAAAAATAAAGGAAATGGACGTTCTTTGTGCAGTTCTTCCATGGAAAATGAGTTCTTTCCAATGAATACCTCCAAATCGGCACAGTCACCACAGCAATCTGGCGAGGCTGCATCGTCTATGATTCCATCAACACAAATAGAGCTAGAGGTACGTTTGGCTCAGCAACATGAGGGCCCATCGTGTATAATTTCATCTTCACAGGCAGAGTCACAGGCAGGGCAACAGGAATTTAGAGAGCAATCGTCAAGGTTTCAAGGTGTATTTTATCTACAAAATAGTCATTGGGGCGCTCAAATCAACACTATTTCGCTGGGATTGTTCAAGTCCGAAGTAGCCGCAGCAAGAGCTTACGATAGTGCGTCCCTCAAGCTCTTCGGCAATAATTTCATGCGTAACTTGTTTTTAACAAGTGTCACAATTCATGAGTCCCTTTTCCAGAACATGTATAGCCTTGAAGTCATCATTAATATGATCAAAGATCGCTCCTATGAACCCAATTATATCAATTTCCTTTGGAATCACTACCCTAATTTTCGGTATGGTGACTCTTTAGCAATGCCTACTTCCATGTACGCCATCGATGGGACCTTTTCTAAGGAAATATTTCGTAAAGAGTTGCTTTTGACTGACATTCAGAATCAAAATTTAATTGTTATACCTGATCTAGCTCTGTTGTCCTTTCATCCAAAGAACTCCAACACAGGCAAACGATGGTTTGACTTTAAAGACAGGACGAATCGGTCATGGGCGTTTCAATTAGATTACGTGAATACTACTCCAGATTGCGCGTTCACTACGGGTTGGAACAAATTTTTTAATGAGATGGAGCTTTGCGCTAATGATACTGTCGTCTTCTATCGATGTAAGAATCTGCAAAATTTTCCTGATGAATTTTTTAATATGATTGATGTGATCCGGGGTATCAGAAAACCTGAAAGTCGCGACGGCATTGAGCCTCATTAAAACCTGGAATCTGCGAGGTTTTATTTGATTGAAACTTAAGGTTTAATTATATTTTGTAATTAGTATTCACTAATAAGAGTTTTTATGATGCGTGCAAAGTGTGGACACAATAATTATGGGTTCAGACATTAATTATTTTTAAGCATTTAGGGGCTGCAAAATATTTTGTTTTATTGTTAAGTGATTTAGTTCATATTTCTTTCCCTTATTTATGCATCATGCTGCTATGTTTATAATAGAATGCATAAAATCATTATTACTGTGGCCGCCCATCCTTCATGTTTATTATAATGAATTACAGTGTGTTGTTAATGAGTTTTGAGTGTTAGAAATATAAATATAAAAATTTAGATGTTGGATATGTGAATTGATATGTTTCCAGTGGTATGTATGTAAATTCCCTTTAATTTTTTATATTATGGAAAAATAACGTATACATGAATACAATTTTAATTTAAATAAATTTACAAGCATATACTTTGTATACCTCAATGAAGGTGATTAATTCAAATAATATATTTAACATTTATTGCAGATAAATAAAAATAAAAAATATAACTTTTAATAAAATTATTAAACTATAAAAATATAAATCAAGGAAAAGTAACCACCAATTAAATTAGATTACGTTAAAATTAAAGTGGATATAAAATATACATAAATCCAATATAAACGTTGGGAAAAGCTATAGATCAATGAAATAAAACTAGGATCTTTTAAAACCCTATGTCTACCTTTAGAATATATTCTAATATAACACACATTTAATATTACATCATGAAATTACTACCAAAAATTTATCTCATATAAAATAGTAAACTATATGGTTGCCATTTTTAGTTGACACTTGCACGAGACAAAAGAGATGGTGTATTGTCATTGATGTGTGCAAAAAAATTCCCTGCATTAGAGTAGCAGAATGTTGTCTTAGCGTCGTATGAAGATTCAACACATACTCGAAAGAAGGAAAAGAACCTATAATGATATCAAAAGTTTTTTACATGGAAAATCTAAAATGAGAAAAATCACGGGGTCTAGCCCGACTGATGAAATCTACTATAAAATGGACATTACATGTACAACCCGCATCCCATAGATAGAAAAGGGTTGAACTCTTTTCGGAGTTACAATATACTGACTTATTGTAAGAATTGGGCAGCGACTGATGGTAATCTGTGGAGGCCGGCATGTGGTGGTCGATAGTGGTCGAAGGTATTCGATGGTGTTTGGTGGTGGTCAGAGGTAATCATGTTTTTTAAAAAATACATGATTGGCAAGGCCAATAGTTCTTTATGAAGAAATTTTAGGATCATTTGTTTATCTCAATGAAGAAAGCTTGGAGCTCGAAATAATTAAGATAAGCTCAATGGTCGTGAGGTTTATAATTTCATTTATTATATTGATAAAATCAAACTAGAATTATAATTTAATGTTTTAACTAATTATATTCTTTAAAGCATAATAAAAATTATTTAAATAATTTAAAACTTGTTATAATATGTTTGACAATATATTACATAATTCTTTTATTATTTTTTCACACCTTTCGTATTTCAAAATGTATATTCTTTAACAATTAAATTTAATGTAATGCATGTTTTATTTAATCAAAATATAGCATGTTAGAAAATGTTATTTCATGGTTTGAATTGCTTGAACATCTTATATTAATTTAATATATAAATATTTAACATATTTATTTTTAAACTTCCAAAGACTATACCATACGAAGGATAGATTTGAAATTTTGCATGAAATTAATTAGTGTTAAAATAAAAGATTAGTTGCCTTCTATGTTATGAGTACTAAAAATAAAAATTTATGCATTACATAACTTTCAGCTCTCCTTATTTGTCAAAGGCCTCTTGCAACATTAAAATAATATTTTAGGCAATTTAATTTTTTCATTTCTAAAATCAACTCGATACTTTAATGCAAATAAGAATATTCCACTTCATCTTTCCAACGGCAAGGAATGTTTTTTTTTTAATGCAATATAAATATATACTTATATATCTATATAATTTAATTATTTCATTTCTAAAATCTAGTCAATGCTTTAATGCAAATAAGAAATTTCCACTTCCTCTTTCCAACGGCAAAGAAAGTTTTTTTTTTTTTTGAATGCAATATAAATATATACTTATATATCTATATCAGTAGTTTGCTCTCTCTCTATATATATATATATATATATATAAAAGATTGATCGTTGATCAACCTCATAGTCTGACCGAGGGGCGGATCCCCCCCTTCTAGAAGATATACAATTTGATTTTACGCAGGGATCGAACCCCGACAAGAGAGACTTACACAAAAAATCGCAAGCAATGAGTTAAGCTAATCCACATTTTGTTATATATATATA